CTAATAAAGCACCAATTCCAAAAATTAAAAACAAAAATGCGCCGATAGTGTTCTATGGACAAAAATTAAAGATTAAATTGGTTTAATGTTTTACTCAATCAATCTAAAATTTGAAAAACTTAATATAATACCACAGAATATCTGGGTTGGGTAAGGTAATAAGGAATATAACATATTCAAAATATGTTGATGATGTAAGATAACACGAGTATCAACACTACTCTGTATAAACAAAGAAACTGTAGTACTTACAACCCTCAAATTGAACCACTTCATTGCGGCAGCATAGTATAATCTACATAAATTATTTATATTTATTGTTTCTAACATATGCTCCGTGAATCTCTTGTTCGCCCTATAAACAGTATATAACAAAACACACACATTTTTAGACATGTCATGAACTATATTGTGTGAACACATATCATATGTTGGCGGACTGCTGCAAAAAAATTGTCATTTGCACATATTAGCTCTCATGACACACTGTTCGCATTATCTACATTAGGTGTTAGTATACTGCGCTCAATTTATAATCCGAGAATCTTTGAGACGAGCACAGAATGACCAAATCAATGTCTATGTGTTTCTTGGATAAATGCGATATCACTTTATCACTGTATACTGCTGTATGATTAAAATATACTCGATATTTACCTGATTGCTCTTATCGTGGACAGACCTGTACACGTTTCACCAAATGATGACAGAACTGGTGATAAAGTGATGTTTTCTAATCTTTTCAGGTCTCTGGAAAATTATATTGCCCCACCCGGCATTACGAGCATAAATGAATCATATTAATGGTGAATTAAAACCTTTGACTGAAACGTTATGACGGGAAATTGTGGTTCGATATATTGCCACCTGGAATATCAATGGGACGTTTTATTTCACTGAGAACCAGTTGGTCATATTGCGCCCGCGTCTTTTCAGCTTTGAGTACTTCAGGCTATTGGCAACCAATATTGTGCATATGCTAATAGTGATTTTGTAACCTCGATATATTGATCGACCCGCGACACTGATATGATAGATAGTCAGATCATGACACAACCAAAACAATACTGTGGGCAAGAAGAATAGGCCTATAATAGTTTATTTTATAAAGTTTATATGTATATATACTGACCGTGGTAAGCGGGAACCGACGATAATACATACTACTGATATCACTGCAACCGGTATCATTAGAAGAATGAAATAGGGTGATATAATAGCATTTAGTGCATATGTCCCAGCAAGTACTGTAATAGCACCCAATAATACACTTAGATTATCACAAAATGACTAGAAGAGAAAGAGATACAAATACAAATTAACAAATTACAACTCATTTTTAATGTTTTTGTAATATAGTTATATCAGCATATTTAATAATATTAAAATAAAACAATGTATGCGATACTCACTTGATCTACTGAACGCACATCAGCGGAGAATCTATTGAGAAGACGACCCACAGGTGTTGTTTCAAAGAATCTTATTGGTGAATATATAACATTATATAACAATTGATTAAATAACCTCTTTGCCGCTGATATGCAGAATATAAATAAACATGCATTCGTTATGGCGCTCATCATGATGTATAAACATATGAAGATACTACATCGTGGCAGATAATATGTAACCACCATCTCTTGTTCAACCTTCAAAGAAATCAATAAACGGTTTAGGTTGTTGTCACACTGAATTTTATTAAATAAATAACATAAACTATTCATTAAATGGTCGTTAAAGAACGGCAATGAGGACGCTGGCCATTGTTATCGGCCTGGGGTAGAGGTTCGAGTTAACGTTCGAGTTAACACTCTAGAAGAGATCCCAAAAGATGATATATAGTAAAAGTGTGGGTTGTCCAGTCGCTCAGGTATTGAATGATCGATTCCTGGTAGGCCAATAACGGATTTGTACATAAATCAGGCTGTGCTTTAGCGATTGTCATCAGAATCGGTGAATTTGTTCGTTACAAACTATCCGCGTTTATTGCTTTATAAAACATCCGACTGATTTTTCTCCTTCATGATGAACGTTTGGTTCTCTCGCGAATATCGTGCGTGAAAGCGTCACTGTTTTTCTCTAGTAGCAAGACCCGAACCATGTCACCCCTGAGCAATCAATCTAACGACTCTTTCAACTGAGCTAAACTGGCGATTGGTGAGGAGGGACCCACGGTTATACATGTATTGTGTGAAGTACACCGTCTACATGAGAGTATTTTGTTCTGAACTGATCATCGGCGTATTGTTCTTCTACACAGATGAGGTTACATACGCACGCATCAACCACGATGGCGTTTGAGAAAAAATCAACAAAATGGGATGAAATCTACGACAGAATCTAGTGAAATTCCCTAAATTTGGGGCATAATATAACCAATGAATTATTTTACTTTTTCCTATAAATAAGACTATATAATCTCGCAAGCGTTTGCCAATACGATCTTGTTTTGCAGATTGCTAAATCAACAGTCTGTTGGATGCATTGTCACTCTACCCAAAATATACCCCAGTTAATACTGAACAAACGCTCTTTGCTATTGACGGTTTGTGGTTTCAAACAATAACACATTTAGAAATGTAATTTATAAATTTAGAAAGGTAATGAACATATATTAAAAATATCTTATAAAGTCCGTCCAAAACAAATATCCAAACAAGATTTTAAAAATATAACGATGAAGAAAGAAGGACGACCAACACAACAAGGAGACGTTTATTATTGGGAAGCGACATGATGATGGGCATCATAAAAAAGTAACCAATATAGGCTAGATTACATAGTGTTTTATGAGAGAACCTTTCCTGTGTTATGACCTGTTTTATAAATAATTACACACCTTGGTCTCATTGAGGCTGTCCTGGCCAGCTTGCGACCAGTTGGATATCCACATATTAAGAAATACGTAAGTGACAATTGTCAGAAGTATCACAAGCACAAGAACGCCTACACGTGGTAATTTCAGAGCCCGGAGATACAAATAGACCATATACCATCCAACACCAACTGGTGAGCTTTCATCTTCAACAAGAGTGGCTTGAAAAAAAGACATACTAGATAGTTGTGAAAACATTTGCGTATATGTTCATTGAACTTTTATATTTTTGGTTCATGTTTCACAGGGTTGGTGCAATATATCTTAGTGCGATATATATTTCAGTTTATAAAATATCTCCATTAGAATATATCCATATAAGAAGCTAGCACACTGCTACGAAATAAACGTAGTGTGTGGGCAGATAAACATAAGTTAATTATATATAGCTTTTCCCACAAAACGGCAAGCTAAAATAACGCATCGGTGCTCACTCCATTTACAAGCTTACTTTCTCTTCAATAAAACTTATGCTATAAACATTCTAATGACCAATGCTGCAGCATGATCGCATGATTATCAGCGATGCGTCTCAAAGGTTAAACAATTGCTAAAAATTGCCACTACTGAACACAATTAGTAAAGAATTAATTTTTAAAATTCTTGTAATATATATTTTATAATATATTATATTATATTATAGTGTTCCCCCAAAGCGTTCAGTGTAGCGGGCCGCTATATGCAATAATGAAATTGAGAAGCAATGAAAAATCAATAAATCTATCATCACTTTTAAATTTGCTTTAACGTAAAATTAATAACCGAGAGTGCCGGAGAAATGACTACATTCATGACATGGAAGACAACACACAATGAAGGAAGTTTATCAGTATATCGAACCTCTATCACCAGAGACACATTTTCCTGATCACAGTTTTACAGTACAGTTTTAATGCTTAGCTAGAACGATTTTGAGCAGGAAAATAAAAACTGATGGGTAGTTCCTAACGGCGGCAATGTTTTTTTACTGTGCTGACTGTGGTATGCGCGAAGCAAAAAACAGAAGGATTGGGGAGTAGGCAATTCACGTAACTCTCAATTTTAATGACGGTGGTTTCTTATTTTTTTATAGTTATAATTGTACATAATTGTAAACAATTAACAATATTATCTAATATTTATTTGGCAATATCTATGTGTTTCACTGTATACACCAAATCTTTTTTATTTGAAAACATATACATTATGTTAATTAGTTTGCAAATTAGTCGCAACCCTGATAATAATGCACGTCGTGTGAACCAAACATTCGTACTTTTTGCTATATCAATACTGTAGTGGTGAATTTAAAAGTGTGTCAACAATACAAATGTTCCTGGTCGCAACAGTGTTTAATAAACATGTCAGTTTGGTATGTGAAATCCAGAATAATTTTCCACATAAATCAATCATATATTTCTTTTCGCTTTTCTTTACTGGTTGACCGAGAACAACAACTACATAGCTTTATATGGTATAATTTTGTTCGTAGTGTCTAATGGTTGAGTTGCAAAGTCTATGAGATGGTGTTCACTACACTGTTTGCGTTAGGTCAATTGTTGTTGCGTATAAGGTATCGCGTCTGCTAACGTTGACAAGCAGCTTGACGTGATGGGCAGTTGCAATCTTTTTTACTCTTAATGGTATATCATTTTGTTGGGTGGGTCTAATTAAGTGTCTTCACGTTGTTGATATATATGTTAATAAAGTATGTACATACGCGCATATTTAAATAATTAAGACCACTTTCAACCTTATATTTAATATGACGGTAGCTTCGTATACCATATCCAAGTAACTAATAATGTTAATGCTAGTTTATGTATTTATAATGATATAACTTGACTTTCAATACTTACCCATGCCTGCTTTGTTTCTATTGAAAATACACTTACATGGTTTGGGTGCTTTAAAAGTCCCGGAATATAAACCTAGATCTTTTTTTGTCACCAGTTCATTCTCGTTTTCATTTTCTGATTCAGAAATAGTTGAAATCAATTCTTTCCATTGTCTGTACATTTCAATGTTGTGACTTCGTATTTCACGTAAATCCCCTTTCTTTATTATTTGACCATTTTCCATAACCAAAACCTGGGAAACCACAACACAGTTGTAGTAAACACAAATAAATTTTACACTGAATATTTAGCAGTTATTTGTGGGCGATTAAAACATATCGTGTCGTATTGCCTGTTTTGGTGTTCAATAATTTCACAGGCAACGAGTGAAAATGTCAATTTTGAAACGTCAAAATAAATTATCGACGGAGTGAGCGGAATAACGTGTGGAATATATATTTTTGCTATCTGTTTACGACAGTAATTGTATGGTAACTTGGTATATATTTTCGTTGCTGTTGTTGTTAAATGTCGTCATTCAGTTTGATGAACATAGTTTTTTATTGTTCAAGATTATATTAACTCGAATGGGAAAATTGCCTTAGAATAGTGAATATGTATTGTTTCCCATATGTTTCCAGCTGCACTTAGTAAGGAATAGAAGTGCAACGGGAAGACTGGTACTTTTCATTAAAATTGTATTTGTATTTTGAATATACTAAACAGGCATGCAAAAAAAAAGCTGGCGTCTAAAAGACGATTACCAGATTTGCTATCATTATGGCGAAGGAAGATAATCGGGCGATAACCCAATGACAGAGAACCTTTGGCCCATTAAATATCTAACATGAATTGTGACCAAGAGCTTCAAAAATATGAGTAGGCTAAACAGAAGAGGATTTAAGAGTGATTTTAAGATTCAAGAACGATTTTAAGATTTTAAGTTCTGCAGAAAATAGAATCCGAATACAAGCAACGATGACCTCATTCTGCTAGAGGCTTTTTTGTTGAGTTTTATATATAATACTATTTTTTAAAATGTCACTTTTAGTTTTTTATTGTGCATTGTATGTTTTCCTAAGTTCACTGTTTGAAGTGCAAGTTTAGTTGATGCAAATATTTGCTGACTTCCTGTTACTATGCCTTGTTTGAAATGTTAATGCTGCCTTTGTTTTTTATCTATGCAAATTTAGATCTTCACATTGAGGGTTATTTATGCGACTCAATCTGACCTGTGATTCAGTTCAACTAGGCATTCTGACCAGCGAACAAGCAGTTGTTTACCAACCCACCCTGTTGAGTTTTAGTTTTCCGTTGTGGTTTCTTGTTTTGAGGTATTTCGCACCAGAATATAGAACTGAGTAATCAGTGTTCACTGGCGAGTTTTTTGTAATAATGTGTGAGCTTTGAAAAAATGATAAGCTGAAATAAAAGTTGTGTTTGATTTTTGAATGTTTTTTGTCGCCTTTTTGAAATGTTGTTATAATTAACTGTAATCATCCTCATTATTTTTATAATTTAATCAGTTGAAAATTGACTGCCAAGTCTTGTTAGTATATAATATTTCTATAGACTTCATTTTTTTAAATGTGGATTGGAATATTTTTTCTTAATACTTTTTCTTTCGAAAAAATGATGTATCATTATAGTATTATGACAAAAGAATTTTCATTATTACTTTATTCAAAATTGATACCATATCCATGGGTTTTAAAGTCTATAGTTTTCAACAAACTTTAAAAACCTCTTGGATTGTAGTTTGAACCTACCTATTCAAATACACCCGCGCAATCTGGGTGCGACAGAGATATGTGGGTTTGGCATCGGAGAGGCGCTCTCTCCTATGTCAAGGTGAGACACAGCGAGGCTTGTAGAAGTTGATAGGTTCAGACTCTGCCTTCCACTGAACATATTCCCATCCCTCTTGTTGCAGAAGGAAGCGTCAAACTTGCTTCCCCTGCAAACTGGGTGGACGACCACCCAAGGAAGAGAGGGGTGCGCCGCCACCCCCAGCTTGGTGTACTTTACGCTTGCCCTTTGCAGAAGCCAAACTAACTCACGGGTCTCACTCTTACCAACTGGTCGGTGGGATCCTGACTTCAGAGTGCTGGAGGTGCAAAAGAATGAAATCAGATGGCTGTCCATAACTCAAAAGTTGGGGGTCGCCACTCTGCTTTCAGAGCGTGGATTATTTCCGACTGAACTGCCGAAATATTACATGAACGTGGCCATCTCCCTTCGCCCGTCCTACCGACCAAAAATCCGTGGTACTAGGGATCCGATCAGGGTATGAGATTTGGCTTCAGACTCTGCTGGCTCCAGTATCAAACACTGCATCATTCAGGTAGAGCCTGGTCCAGTGAAAAGGGTTAAGCATGAAATTGCCCCACCCTAGGGACTTAAGGTACAACAACCTGCCCTGCTTGGTCTGACCTGAAATCGGAGGCCTGACCACCAGCCCCCGGCTACCTGTGGACTAGGTCTCAGAGACCCGGTACCACCAGTGTGTGTCCACCTGCTTCCCAAAAACGATGGGGAAGTCGGGCTGGGATTGGGCAGGGGTCCCCAGGAAGAAGCATCACTTGCACGCAAATATCGCTTGCCGGTGTGCTTCTTCCGGCTTGCCAAACAAGCGGCGATAGCAGTTCATAATTAATGAAAGCCAATCTCCATTTGTAAACAAGTTGGAATATTGGTGACGTTGTGATACTGATTAGTTTGAGTCAAACACGAGTAAGATTCACTATGCAGTCTTATGTTGCTCCCTCGAACTGAAATTGATTGTGATAACGACCATGTGAACATGTTCCCCTTTAATTATAAACATCTGTGAATTGGGATGCATACAATTGACTTTCTCAGTGTTATTAAGCATCCGTGCTTGTGTACGTGTCAGTTGATGATGAATGAAGATAGGCGATTCAAATTCAGATGTGGCAATTTTTAATATATAACATTACGTTTCCTCGGGGGCAAAGTTCCACTCTAATATATCGTCGGTACATCGCGTGCTGTAGCTTAAATAAAACAATCATGCATTCGATAAATGAATCAGACGTTTGCGAGAGCCATAGTATACACAATTCCAGAACTCGCATTACCAGTGAACATTTAATTTAAAGGGCGGTAGTCGTCTATGTCATGTCTACTCTAAATCAGTTACTTACCTGATTAGCATGTTCTAGATGTTGAATCTGATGAGTTACAAGTATAACTGTACGCTGTTGCTCACGAAGGTATCCTAATATTGCATTCTCCATTATATGTGTACTTACGTGTACATCTAATGCTGATAAAGGGTCATCCTACAATAACAGATTATTCATCAATTTGCAGGGGACAAAATAATACAATATCTATCTCGTCATGGTGTGTATTAGTGCAACATACATTATAACCTTGATATTTTATTGTTCAAGAACGTGACAGATCAGTTGTCATGGAACTACATATTTTATAAGTAATGTATTTCGTGATGATCTTCAATAATGAAAAGTTTGTAAAAGTTATATGCCAATTGCAGATTTAACCTGGTTTAACAATATAAATATAATTGAATACCCACCAATATGACTACATCTGTATTGCTGTACAAAGCTCTCGCCAAACAGATTCTGTGTTTCTGACCCCCACTCATATTGATACCTCTCTCACCGATTTCTGTCATATCTCCTCCAGGCAAACTACGTAAATCTGCATTCAATGCACATACCTGAAGTACAGTGTTGTATCTAAAATGCACGAGTTGTATTTCATAAGCTTTCACACAGCCTGTGTTTTGTTTTTCTTAGTTAGTTGTAAATACTTATACACATGCGCGGACATGGAGGACATTATCCTCGCCATAAACAACAATGTGTTGTATGATTTGAAATACGTGTAATACGACCATGGGAAACGTGCAGTTTTCCTGATATAAAATATCTTACCTCTCTCGAACATACGTCTCTCCAAATAATATATTGTCTCGCAGTGACGCATTCTGCAACCAAGCCTTCTGGGCAACATATGCTATTCGATTATCTCTCCTGTACAAATAAAACTTATATTTAGCATATGACTAAATACAACGAAAACTGATTTGCACATATACAAATATATACAAATATTATAAAATAAATTATCTAAAAAAAGAGTTTAATCCGTAGATAGTCTTTGTCACATAAATAAATGTGGGGAACTTCCATCTTAAAGTGAATAGGTAGGTATATCAACCATTTGTATTTAAATCAAAATTGTGAATTTAATTCAACTAATCGTGCATATGGCTTGCACGAATATAAATATAAGGATGTAGATCTTCGGCAATGTCACACTCACCCTGGAAAAGTATCATTTTGTGATGGTTGCCACCCGCCCTCACACACATTCAGCTATATCCTAGCTTGAAAATATGAAACAGCGAATTTCAACTCCCAAAATAAGGACATATATACAAATAAATTAGATAGTCAGTATATGTACCAACAAATACTAGCTTGATATATACTATTCCAATATCAGGTAAATTAAGCACTTGTTTTAGTATAGAAGAAGGTAAGTTGTTCTACTAGTCAACATCATTTCACTGCAACGATGTTTGCAGACTTTACTATTCCAAAGTCGTGGAATGAAATTCTTTTGTTTTTCAATTGCGAATGCCGGTACCCTTATTTAGTTCAAACGTAAGCTGAAGACTTGAAGCTGAAAACACCTGATTAATTTTTTCATCAATCTGTTTTTATTATTTTCGTGCAGCGCTTAGGTAGGGGCTTTTCATTAGGCGCTATATAAATGTGGCTTTGTCATTTTTATTGTATTTATCATAGCAATATTTCTTTAACTTCCGAATTCAAAATTTACTACCGAGTATGTATCTTCCATTGTATATCATAGAAAAACTATATATATCCTCAAAATTGTATTTGTTTTTAAATTTCTTTATTTTCAATATACTGATGGCGTGAAACTTCTTACTATTTTTTCGCAGTCCAACACAATTATTTGTTGTTTATTTACAGTATTTATTTTCCGGGATTCATTTACAATTTTATAATTGCAATGGTGTAAATGTAACCATATAATCGCAACCGGCCATTATTTTTTGGGTTATAACATATTTCATGGCATTATATTCATTAAGAACACATGAAATAATATTAGAATTGTTATTCAACCGTACATACCCATTAAAGGTTACACTTCCTGATATTGTATTCATTTCCCCAAGAATTGCAGACACTAGAGATGATTTACCAGTACCAATTTTTCCAACCACAATCGTCAATGTTCCTAGATTGGAATACACGACAAAAACGGATACTCTACAAATATATTTATAACTTTTAATATTGATAACGTTTTGAAAATTATCAACATTGCTCAATAAAAGTAAACCATTTTCAACGGAGATGGAGAGGGTGGAATTATTGATTGACATATTTGACAAATTACAAATAAACTAAATTTAATGATTATATTTCAAAAGAACATTATTAATTAATCCCCATTTTTATTTACGTATTCATCTGTAATCTGTATCAGATAACGGCTAATTGCGGTAGTATAATGCGGTAGTATAAACAAAATCCAAGAACGCAAAACATTGGGCGGACAAACAATCTGACACTCGACATGCACTGTAATTTATGTTTACAGTAATCTGTTCACGTTGAAGTGTATTAGACATATAATAATTACTATATATTACCTGTTTTAATTTTGACATTAATATTATTCAAAACAGCTTCATAAGTACTTCTCCCCCATGAGAAATATCCATTAACTATCTAAACACAAACACATAAATTATGGTTCAAACTGTTGTTAGAGAAAGATATATATCGCTTCTCAGTGCATGTGATTATATGATGTGATCATAGGTAATTCATGTGGTTATAGCTAATTCATGATAGAAAGTTTCTGACCATAACTGTGTGAATATTTGTATTATATACAGAATAAAACCAACTTTTTACAAAAGGCTGAAATGCAAGGTTTCTCTCTTCCATGGCAACATCCAAAATTGTCTCCATTCACAAGTATTTGTTTAACACATTTTCCCCGGTTGTTTTATATTCAATATTGTCTTTCAAAATTATTGTCACATTAATGACATTCATAGGGCTACTCGGACCTAAATACAACGTTGAGTAGTTAACATACTGGTCACTAAATGCGCAAATCTGATTGACTGATTGTGGGTGATTGTGTTGTGGGGTATTATAAAAAAAATACATACAATGTATGACATATAAAAGTATATCACTCACTTCTATTGCAACATCTGTTTCTATATGTCCAGCAGTAGCAGTGATTGGCAGTTGATTGATTTCATGTGTTGTCTGATAATTGTGCCGCTGTACACGTTGCACTAATGGAGTGGTTGGCTTCATTTCAATTGTATTCATTTCATATTCCTGTAAAATTTAATTACATTGAATAACAGTAATGACACGTAGTTATATGCCCAACTTTTTATTTATAGATAGCATAAATGTTATTGGACGTAAAATAAAGCATTTACTAAGAGAACATTGATGACAAATTTGGTATACTCGACTATCTTTAGTTACTTCAGTTCAATTAACATTGATAACCGGATTAAATCAGGTAAAATTAAATTCATACCTCTGTTAGTTCATGAAGGCAACCGCTATCCATTCTACCGTCCACTATAGACCTATGCTCGGCATTTCCTTCAATTTCATCCACTGATAAAAAATGTGCAAGCCTCTTGGTAGCAGCCACCATATCAATTGTGTATTTAGCAAACGATGGCATAACAAAGAGTGGTTGACTTAGGAAGTTTATCAGAACAAGTGTCGTAAAAACTACGTCTGGTGTTAGAGGTTCTGTGTCGAGTTGCGAGTATACAGCAAACATCTGTTAATACAAACAAACTGATATATTATCATGATAACTAATTATTATATGGCCAATTGCTATATTGTATTGCCACAATCGGTGTATGTAGTTCATCTTTATTTCATGGTAGTTTTATCCAATTAATTAGAAACATGTCTTAGTACCTATCCTCGAAATAAATGTTGTCATTCACTTTATTATGTTTATTATTATGAAGGACACACACTTACTGTCAATGCTATAATCCACGGTAATGCCTGCGACAATAACCCTTAAGAAAAATAAAAGTATAGATTAATGAGATTGTTACTACGACGGGCAATTAATGGACTTTTTTGAAACTTTATATCTTTTAAAACTTAGTATAATAAAATAATTCTCATTCACCGAGCTGGGAGAAGACATCATGAACAATTGATGGAATAGGAACTTAATTTGTAATTTACTGTTTACTAACTAATTTATGAAATTATTACCAGAGAGAAGAAAGTACATGGCTACTTTTGATGTAAGCTTCATTTCTTCACTCCGCGTATTTGTAATGTTAGAAGCGAACAGTTCCTCCCATCCACTTAGCTTCAGCAACTTAATGCCCTGCAATAACTCATTCGTTTTTTTCACACGAATGTCAGAATGATGCTAATGAAGAAAAAATGTGCATGTAAGTACTTTATTTGTGCATTTTTATAAGGTACCTCGAAACTCGGTGTAACTTACTCTTTTTTGCAATGATTTACTTATGTCTCCATACATTACCAAAATGAAAATGATTATTATCATTACAGTTATAATTAATATTTTGTTACTATTAATATCAAAACAACAGAAAACTATTCACAACACAATATAATATATATCTTGTGCACGTACTTACCATGTTAACATGCTGTAATTTGTGTTGCATCCGGGCTGTTTTCAATGCAAGTGGCATTATCAAAAGTAAAACACAAATACCAACAACCCCTGCTATTCCCATTAAATAAAGTAGCCAAATTGACACGATCAAGATCTAAGTAAATGAAATATATTGAGTTTGAGACATCACGATGCAGCATAATTTAGCCTGTAAATTGCAAATTTAAGACGTGAACCTTTGGCAAACTGAAACGTCATTTCATATCTTGCACGTAGTATCCTGTAATATATATAGGACCTTAGAGTTTTTTAAATTGAAGTAATTCAGAATATATTTTGGTCAAATTTGGTATTTGTATTTGTAAGTTTAAAATTCAGGATGACTATGGCTCTTACCAAAGAGTTTTTGTGCTCTTTTCTTAGTAGTTCAGACATATAATTCACATTTATGCCCTATTGTTATTGTCGACCCAAAATAAATTCTTACCAAAATAAGGTCGTTCAGAAACTGCTATATCAGGTGATCGAGAATTTGTTCTGATCTAATACAAATTCGTGCAAACTGCTTTATATTTAAATGACAAAACTGAAACCGCATTCATCACTTTTTTATCATTCACCATCTTGTTTTGAAATACAGAATTAAATTGCACAGCTATATAATGACAGGTTATAATTTAACAGACTTTTCACTAACTACTCAATTTAAAGTTCCTACGTGGCCGAACGCAAAGGTTTAAACAGACACGAGTGTAAATTAGATGAACTTACATGAAGCGGATTTGCCAACACAAAACCAAGAAATAATGTAAAAAAAAATTGTATTACAGTTACATCAACAGACATGTGATTAATAGTTTTTCCGACAGTTGTATCGTCTGTTGACTGCAGTGGTAATCGTAGAGTTTTCTCGTAAACCAGATTCTGTTTAAAAAAGAAATTTTCAATGATTTAAAATTAGACCTGAATATGATGATGTTAAAATTCTGTCACTAATCAAGTATGAACAATAACATGAATTATATATGTTACACGCTTACCTGAAGTGCTGTTTTCAGTTGCAGGCCAATAATCGTAGATATACCATACAGGTATACGTAAAGAGTGTTTCTTATCACGAGAATAGTGAAGATCAAAAGAACAAGAATAAAACCATTCGAGAAAAATTCGTCAACCGTAACAAAAGGAGAACTCTATTTAAAGACAAAAATCGTAATAATTTTTATTCATTTTGAAAGTCATTTATGCCAGATTAGTATTGAGTATTGCAGAATTCATCGATTCTAAATTGACTAGTTGTTAATTATTAATTATATTGCATCATCAAAGCATTTATTACATTGATTTCTTTTTTTTAACTAACATACTTACTCATCTACATACCAAATACATGATATGTATACAAAGAATGAATAAAGAGCCCCAGAATATACATTATTATTCACAGGGATCCACAGGGAATACCCACATCAAATGTCGAAAGCTGTTTTCAATATGAAGATACACATTTTGAACACAGAACTTCAATTGCGCTTTTAACCACTTTATCCCTTTATGCTAAACAAACAAAATCGAATACCTCTGTAAATCATAAAATAATGCATGTTTCAACATGTTTTGCTGAGTTGTTGGCCATTGATGTAGTTTATTTATATGGTTCATAGGACTGTCAATTTTAACATCTATATACTGTCGTGAAGCTTTTACTGAGATTGTGGAATTCAATTTAGTCAAACACCGCCATGCAACGCAATTGAGACTGAGCTAGGTGCCACCTAAAGGGAACATCAATTGAACATATTTTTATGAAAAGCAAATATTTTAGGTACTTGTTTAGTGTTTTGGTGGGTAGATTGTTGTTGATTGTAGTGTAAATAAACGACATAACATAACCTTGTAAAGTATAAATATGATTCATGATTCCATTTGATTTATTAAATAGTAGATTTCGATACAATATATATTTTTTTCTGGGAAATCATTTTTGCCGGGAAATAGCGTTATTTCACATTCGAGCTTTGTATTTCCAGACTCAATTTTCTTGTCATTTCCCATGTGTGGCAATTAACTCAATCTGAAGCCACACTAATATTGATTGCCGATTGAATTACGTGCTGAATGCCGGGGTCAGACAAGAAAGGCTTCTTAGCAATCATCATTAATGATACACGCTAAAAATAACTACAATAACACTTCCAGATTATCTTGGCCACTTATATTTGAATAACAAGCGTTATGGATATATATGGATATATATATTATATATATATAAACTATACTATTGGTGACTAATATAAGTACCGTGTACGTAGGGAGGGGGGTTAGATTAAATCGAAAATCCCATTTAGAAAATGCGAATTCACGCTTTCCAAATTATGTTTAATTGTACAGTCATCGTGTAAGTTTTCTTTTGTGTCTTCGCTATATAGACGTGGTTTACAAGAGAACACATTAGGAACTTAGTATTGAAGTCTTTATCATACTATTTCTGAGAAATACTAGATAAGTAGAACAACTTACATATATCTTGATATCATTAGCGTAGTATTCTGTAGCATACATCACTATTTTGCCAAGACAAGCTGGACCGACAAACGTTAGTGCAGAATGAATAAATCGTAACACACATACTCTTATTATCATGGTATAGTGAGTGCGCCAGTATACCTTCCAAAGTGAAGGTACCCGTTTGCCACAATTTTGCTATAACGAACAAAAACATTACTATAAATATTGTATACACAGATACATGATTTGATGGTCTTCAATATATTATAAATAAGTGCAGAGATAGAAATGCCGACCCCCTATAACATAAATGTATTGCAAACAATAACGTATCAGGCAGATTACACGCTAAATATTAGGCTTGAACATTCCTACCTGTTCATATCTGTAAACTTTGTTAAATGCTTCTATCATACGTTTTCCTTCAAACTCTCCAGGCAAGCATCCCAGGTCGTCCAACACAATTGTTTGTCGGCGCGATAGAGACACTAACCAGTTTAACCACCATATAGTTGCATTTGATAGAATGTTTACATATGACTGCATGTAATATAAATTCGTTTCCACGAAATCCTTCGGAAATATTTTTTCTTCTGAGAATGGGCAAACAATCTGTGCAGACAAAGTAAGTGTATCAATTACAGTGAATTGTAAAATTGTAGCATTATATTTAAATAATGAACTGAATGAAATATACCAAATAACAAATAACATTAGTAGTAACCAACGCATGATCGTGTTACTAAACACAATATGGTAGCACTAAACATCAGCTATATCACAATAACAGCTAAGATAAATGTTAGTTTGCCTTTACATGTTATACAAATGATAGGTTGCTTTAAAAAAAACACCTACTGCAATAAAAGACAAGCTTATTTAACACCTAGCATTGCAGAAACCTAGCATTGTTTCAAACAATACATACGGTCCAGGATCGCTAACATTGCCTTTAGCTTTGTAATATAATAGTACGTTTTTTCTATAATTACTTATGTAATCATTAATCACACGGATAAAGTGTGTAATCTTTGTGTCAATTTTAATATTTGCATACTATTTGTTTACATACAATTAGAACAATAGCAACACAAGTTTAAGTTATAAATTCAGCAATTAGTATACCAATATTTGAATGATTTTAAAATTTGGATTATTCTAACAAAACAGTTCTCTGGCAAATTGTCAGTAACTGAAGAAGTAAATACAACATGTCTAAACAAATTATTCGTTTAAAAAGTATTACCTCAATCAAACTTCACCTGGGGGTGGTTCTTAAGTTTGGTGTTTAAAAGCCTAAACTAAATACTAGATGTGATTTAAACCAAAATTAAAGTATCAGGCCCCCTGTAATAACCAGGGCTAAGCTTAAAGCTTGTATAATAATGTTGACATGTTTTTTTTTCAAATAATTTTTAAAACAAGCTTGTCTTCAGTTAGACTATACATGTCATGTTATGCATTTAAACAACAACCATATTGCTTAAAATTATACTTACATTTGGTAATCAAAATACCTGTTTGTTTTATTATGTTCTCTTTCATAATATTTTGGCTTAAATAAAAAAAATACATGTATATGTTCGCCCAAGTTTATTAATTTTCATTCTCCAATATGCTATATCACTCAAATATAAAATTTCCTCAAGTCGAAATTCCGCAAATGTGATAAATAGCCACGGAAACGGTCCAAACAAATTAAGGAGCTACGGAGCCGTGGCGGCGCTCTCTATTGAACATCCGCCTAAATAGGATTCTGCCGAAACGATTCCAATATATTACAGAAAACAAAACAACACTTTTCTGGTTAAGTAAAGTCCTCATGATTTGCTCTCTCTGCTTGTTAGTATCAATAGCATATATAACTCTAGAATACAGGAAATTAACAAATGCATTATACGGTAGAGCAGCCTATAGCATGTTTTATTAATGTATCTTTGTAATATGTGCTCTATTTTCGATCGAAATAAAACATTGTCATTTTATATCGCTGTCAAGATTTACTACATTTCAGTTTTTAGAAATTGGGAAAACCACCTTGACATTGGCAAAATGAACTCTAACATTGGTAGTAGACAATATACAACATTGTTCGCAAGGAGTTTTGGAAACAACATCTGTCTAATATCGATATATTAGTACAATTCTCTAGTGTCGAACATCTATTTTTCATTGCTTTTAGTTAGTGGTTTGTAGTGGAGATTTTAACCCTGAAGGGCTCTTGAAAACACAACAAACTCACTTTGGGGTTCACTTTAAAAGACATATCTTTACATTCATCAATGACCATTGGCAATTATTTTTGATTTTTGATGTGTATGTATTTTCCCCGAATATGTTTGTCATAAATAAATTGCATGTAATCTGCATCATTCAGTTGACAGATTTTATTTTATTTCACCAAAACTGAGGTTCATTCGTTGCACCAATGTGGGAAATAACGTTGCAAAAATTTGATAGAGTAATTGAGAATAATTGGGCTAACCGTCATAGCCATGGTTGTCATCTTCATTTAATGAGGGATGAACCAACAGAAATTCTGGCAGAGGTGATGTCAGAAATACTGTGCAAATTATTGTTCCCCAATTGTACAATCGCCCACGAAGTTTCTTATGGCCAACTCCTAAGATATGTAAAAATTGATGACTGTCTCACTGGTGAGCAGCAGAATCGTACAAAACTCATCGTTGGATACCCTAGCTGCATTATGCTTGATGGCAACAAACTAATTTTAGTGTAATACAATGTAATATTTTATTATCCAAATTGTCTTGCCTATGTGCATTCCGCTCATGTCTAAGTTTACCTCGCCAGGTTGTTCAATATGCCTGGTGGATGTCATTGAATGAACGGGGTTAATACTTGAGTCCGTTGGGCGAGTTCGCCCGTCGTTGCATGGATTTTGCCTGCACATTCACTTCTTCCACTTAGGGCTTACCTACTCCGACAAGCTGAAGGGCATATCCATATCGAATGGAGCAGACCTATAACAAACATTAATTCACATTCTTGTGCCTGGACTATTGGCTGTACATCGTACATGACACAGGCCTGTTGCAGTGAACAACAGGAAATTATTTACTGAAATGCACCAACCATCTAGCTATCTGACCTTTGAAAATATATTAACTATCTTAAAGCACTCGATCATTAGTTTATATATGAAGTGACTGTTAACAGGTGGTTGACATCAGGTCACCAATTATCTGAGTATACATTGTTCATCTAATTGAAATACTTACATGTATGCTCTTGCTCAAAGATACCTTATATATTTGCTCTTTCCCTCTGATGTATATTGCAATTCGAATGTGGAAAGGAATGTGCTTCTAATACAGGTCTAGGTCTAACTCGGTGCACTGGGATTAGATTTGAATAGCATTACACACGGCAAACCAGCAGAGAATTCTTCCATGTTAAAAAGGTTCAAACAAACTACATTGGACATATCAGCTATGAATAATCCTATGGGACATTATTAAGTTTAATTATTATCTTTTCACTGTTAATCTCTGCCAGTGCTACTCGACTATTTGACTTTGACTCTTCGGTTTCAATGTCCATGTGTCATACAAAAAACTACAATAGCATAATTACATCATTGTATTTAAAAAACAACTTGACGGGTAAATTATATCAAACAAGAATGTCATCTATGGAGTTGATTGTTACTTGTATACCCTTATCCATTCTAAAATGAATGTATGGATTTATTAATTCCATGACAACAGCCAATTACAATCGTCTTAGCCGAAGTAGATCATTCTGTGCCATATACCGAGGTGAGCAAAAAGTGGAAGACAGGTACAAATAAAGTTACATGCTATGTGACGTCCAAAAGATTTTCAACCTCACATCTTGTATATATGGACAATCATATTTTATGATTAACCAGAAGTCATTAATCATGTCAGATTATGACCTAATACAAGATTCGTGTGTAATATGATAGTCGAGTTGACTGTGTTTATATATCATGAAGAATACATAATTCAATATCCTTTGTAGTGATCATAAACGAATACATACCTTTTTATGAAGCACATTAATTTCAACTGCTGCACAACAGCAATATAGAATAGTAGTAATAATTCCAACATCTAATCGCAATATACTGTAATTAAAACCAATCGACTGTGACACTCTAAATATTGCTAATACTTCTCCAATAATAGCCATGATCCAGTAAAGTAACAACAACCAGGCAAGATGAGGTCGATCCCAGTACTCCATATGATGGTAATACATTAGACTTATGATCAGTCCCAATAAAGACAACATTTGTGGAATATACAAGTATAGGTTGGTGACGTCATTTCTTGACAAATCAGTAAGGATTCCTTCTGCTGCACTAAAGAATAATACCACTATAAGTATTCCTGATATTGTCCATTTGAACGCGTGTCCAGGATAGTGTAGTAAAAACTTGTAGTCATAGTAACGTAATTCGGTGAAGTACTTCATAACGATCATTATACCAGAGGCTATTATTATGAATAAAATGTGGATTACTATTTGAAGTTGCTGGACGTGAACCAGAGTATCACAACATATTGAGCTAGAATTCATCAGATCTGCAAATAAATATAGTAATTATTTCATTAAATTGTTCATGCCTCATTTTAATCCCATAAATTCTTCGAAAAGTATCATCACTTTTATAATTTTGGTTAAAAGGTCACTGTAAAACCATTTATTTTCACCGGTATTTAATTTCACTATTTTGAAGTTTTGAAAAATTTCACTACATTTCACCAATGTGGCATTTACAAGAGTTACTTTGTCATTTTACATGTTCACGTGTTTTTAATTCAGCTAATTGTGCATAATTGTAAAATCAAACATACCTAGCTCAAGCCATTCCATACGAGAGCGGTCGTTTCGATCAAGTGGCCATGGCATGTGATCAACACAGCGTAAGCATGTGATCACCTGACCACCATTAAACATACGATATAATGACAGATGTCCTTAGGTTTAGCGACTTTACAAACCATTCTTAGTAGATTTGCTCGTTCGTACCTAGTTTTTAGAAAAGCCTTGATCTATTCATTGTGCATTTAAACAGTTTTTCCTGGGAACATACGCGTTCAGGCTGATAGCCAATGGAGTAAGAAAGCGACCGTGTCATGGCATGACCCAACTACTAAAACAGCATTGAAACCGTTTCAAACATTCAATTATTTAGTTTGCCAAGCGATCTTTTCATTTCATTAGAAAATTGTCGACCTGGTTCCCATACAGGCCGTAATAACACAAACATCCCCCTAACGTCACTGTTTTTACTTTATTAGCGAGCTTTTCATTCTATTAGACACATGTCACTCTAGATTCATTTACAGACCGTTATGACACAAACACCCCCTCCCACGTCACTGTTTTTATATTATTTATATGTGACCTACAAAATATATGTATTACAACGTTTTGAACATATGTATTTTGATTATTAAATTAACCGTTAAATTTCATTAGAGACTTGTCGCTTACAGGCCGAAATGACAACCAACTTACATCACTGTGTTTATTCGATATGGCAACTACAGAATATACGTTGTGCAGTGCGTTGAAACATTTTTTAATTATTTAATTCACCCAGCAATCTTTTCATTCTATTCTATGTCAAACTCTTTTCATCGTTATAAATGTTTTACAAGATATATCGGCCTGATAAGGTAGAATTAATTATACATCTTTATTTTGTAAATATAAAAAGTTGAGGGTAACGAAACTATATACTCATATGTATAATCATATTACAAACATCCATCACAGAACACAACAGACTAGTGTATTATTTTGTATAACTTCCATGCAAACAAAATCAAATATAATTCCGCATTCATCCATTCACTAGGCGTAAATATAAGTCCCAAAACCCATGAGTCTTTAATCTTGTGTCAAACCGCTTGAAGTTAATACTACTACAAAATGTTATTGCACCATACATATATGGTTCGAGGCTATCTATATGTTTAAATTTTTTCTCACGTTTGTTAAGCGTTTTTTGAGACACTAATCAGTTTCCAACGACATATATGGCTTATATGCATCTAAATATATATGGCTTGTGCTTGATATACCATTTTAACCATTAACAAATAAACCATGCTGTTTTATTAAGAAATTGTATTTGCACGATATGAGAATGATTATGTTGCTTAATGGTGATAATGGTAATATACAGGACTTGGGTCAAAGAAGATATTAAAGATAAATCAAGGTTCCCTTAGATTGAATAATGCATTTCCTAAACCAAGTATATGTTCGACAAATAGTTCACTTGTGTACTCAGTCAATCAGTGGAGTTTACATTGGTACCACTAGCAGAATATGTACAGGCATTCTACTTATATTCAGATAGTGCAAAACCAGTATGTATTTCAATAAATAGAAAATCATCAAAAGGAACCCCGTCAGGTAAAGACCTTCGTCCTCTTGCTCTCGCGAGCACCAATAAGCTAGGGGTGATTGAATATCTGCCCAAACTCAGATTGGAATCTTCGCGTCAGTCAGCCAATGTTTCAAAACGCAACTTATCGATTTAAACATGTAGCGGCAGTACGTAGAAAGTAGCTCGGTGAAGTCCCGAACACACTCAAGGAACTCTGCTTAGAAATTGCTTGATGTAGATTTTGCATATCTAACCATAGGGGCCAAGGAACTGCAATAAACTGTACGTCTATGAGTGTATCAATTCCTGGGCTCCCTATGATGACACAACAAAAGAAATGCGTTCTATGTTGGCCTTGGTATCATTTAAGGTGAAACAATACTTCACTGGTGCTATTTGGTCGAGCATTTTATAAGGATCGCATGCGAGAGATTCAATTTGACATTTTTAATGTACACTCATACTTACGTACATTTGATGTACACTGCGAATCTAAGGCGCCTGAATTTCATGGACGATCCCCGATTTAAAAAAAAAAAAAAAAACGTGTGTGAGGTATCCACCATACGGCCATTCTCTGGTAACGCGATGCACTCAACACTGAACTTTCTCTATAAATAAACCCTCCTTCCCGTATAAAACGTCTAATCCGCCTGTCCAGATTTTGACGCGTACTGTATAGGACAACCAATGCTTGCGCAGTACCGGCAGTAACTATTAGCATTATATTAATGGTCAGCATTATGAATTGATGCAATGTACTATTGTACATTATTGTTGTACTACCATATTCGTTTCTGTCACTAATACATTTCTAGTAGAAACATGCACTGTGAATTGTAAACTTCAAAAATTTTCAAAAACACATGCCACTTCAAGTTCCAATAAAGAAAACTGTTATTGTATTGATGAAAACATTAACATCATAAGTATTGTTCTCTGCATCAGATATCTTTTATCATCTCAAGGCAAATTGTGTGACATTCACATACATGGTAGTTTTAACTTGTATAGCCACGGATTGTTTATAAAGGATACCCTCACATAATTTTATCACACAGAAAAAGATATTAACTTTAGTCTTGGTGTTTCCAAATTTGTTGCAGGTAATATGTCCATATACGCGTTTTGTAGCCCGTGTCGTTGTGACAGTTTGATATACATGGAGAAATGAAATGACATTAAATAGCTTTCTAAAATGGTTTTTTGACAAATTATTTTAATACTAAAATGATAATTACTGTATATGTACTAAGTATACAAATCATGTAGATGTATAGTAATGTATTAGATAAAATAATACATGCCGATATCGTATACATCTATATTTTTCACATTCCTCACTGCTTATTGCATAATGTCTTAATATTCCGTTTCAAGAGAAGTTGAGATGTGCTGATGTTGGATCACTTCTCTTTCATGGCTTATCACTTCGTGGGTATTCCATTAATAACAATTTTGTGATTATGTGTATAACTTATGAAGAATTTATTTTCGATGGATCTACTTCAGACTACATATCAAAATTACATGTCTATAATTCTCAAAAGCTGTTGCCCATATATACTCCTCTAGGCTAGGTTAAAGTTCGCAAACATATTATGTTAACACAAAACCCTAATTTACTGCCACCAGAACTGAAAATAACAATTTGCACAATTGTAAAACAACACTAGATCCAATACATCATTTTTGACTGTGTGATGAAATTATCTTTTTATGTACATTTCAATTTCTGATGGAGTGATGCTTGTTCCACCAGTATTCGATCCTGATCGCTGTTATTAGATGAGTGATGAACCAGATTTAGTTGTTTAACTCAACATTCTCAGCTACACATTAACATTTATTTTGCTAATTTCTTTATATACGCAAGATAAATATATTATAGTTTCAAAAATGCAATTATTGCCGCCTTTTCATATACCAAATCATGCAGGTATTACATTTACCAGTAACACGACACAGATCCTCTGTGTATCTGAAAGATACTTTTGTAACTTTTGAGCTAAACAAAAGTCTTACAGAGAAGCTATGCAAATAAGGGATGTTTAAATGATCGCGCGATTCGTTGAAGAGACATTCTAGTACCTTTAAACACGGTTGCTGTTTGTTAACCCACTAAATATGAGAAGAAAATATGCCGTTTTATGGTATCGTGGCGGCAATTTCGGATTTATGTCTAATTAGAAATCAAAGAAAGCTTAGAAAGAACTCCCGTGTGCTGAGGGAATAAGGATCATGATGTAATATTCGGGAATATTTGAAAATGATAAACAAATTATGAATAATCTATTAAATAAGGAGCCACCAGTAGTCATCTACACACATAGACATCGTATACCTACAATAAGCCTACTTAAAAATATGCATAAAAAGTCTACACAAAATTGCAACATTAAAAAGAAAACTGAAATAATTCATAAAACATTGGGGAAAATGAAATGCAACGAAAATAGTAAACAAATAAATGCCCAAAATAAACTTATAGGGCATTTAAAAATATTTTAGAAATTTAGTTAACACGGAAAACGTGAAGTAGCAAGAACAACTATATAAATTTCTGACAAACAATCACAATCTAAATATCTAAAATTCAAACCACTATCTTAATATCAATATGTGTGTCAATAAATATTATATTTATTTATTTTCAGTTACGTATATTAATAAGGAAGGCATCACAATCTTTTCGATTGGTTTGTAAATCCCGAAAATCG